GGGAAGCGTCCACATTGGACGTGTGCCAGCGGAAAATGCATTTCCATTTGCAACTCTGGGCCCGCTGTCAGGACTTCGCATTGCATGGCATCCTTCTGGCCGAGTCCGCGTCCTGCGTTGTTCGATAGGTCTCAGGATAGTGTTCGATTCGCAGGGCACAAAATGTGCATTCGAGTGCAACTTCTGACTGACTGACAGCCTGTGTATGTGCCACACGGACAGGGGAGCTTCCGCAGATCGAACAGCCATTCGCTGGGTTTTCTGCAACTGCAGCTAAATTGATTGCTCCATGTAGTGTTTGGTCAAGTTGTTCGCTCTCGGAAAAGGGAAAATAAATAGGAAGACCTAAAATGGACCCCAATCGAGATTCTGATGAATTTATTACAAAATTGGTATGTGCACCAGCTATAGAATACAGACAATATTATTGGAATCTTTACAAGTCTTACAAATTTAGATTACATCCAAATTGATGTAACGATATATGCTGAAGCTTTAAGGTTTGGTCGTGTTTGAACAGATTACTTTAGGCTTTTCCTATGATAAAATTAAGAATGTATACAATGTAATAGATTGAACTTATCCAATCTAGACTGTACTTATTTGGGCGTGGCCACACTCCCACCCAATTCGAAACACACTTCCGTACATAAATGTTAGCAGCTTACATGGCTGGTTTGCCTTTTGCCAATGATGATGATTTCCATGTTTATCAGTGGCAGGTATGCTCTGGCCTTCTCCCCCGGCTCCTCCCAAGTGCATCAGTGCAGTCCGCCGGACTGACACTTCTCCCTTTTTCTGTCTTCTGTCAATGCCGCTGCGATTCTGCCATAGTTCGCATCAATTTTCGAATGGCTCAGCTCGCATTAACTCCCAGAAACGTGCCGGGTTTCAGGTTCCCGATCCGAGGTCACGACTACAGCATAGCTCGCAAATTGCTGACATTCCGACACGTCGAGCATGCGATTGACATAATTTGGATCAATCTGATTTCGAGAAGAGTTAAAGCGATAATTTAACAGTGTTTAAAATATGTTAAAACTTCTTCTTTCTATTTACGTTGGTTATCATTCTGCATAGGAGATTTAATCAAATAAGGAATAAGTAACTTATCATTCAATGAGCCTTGATCATTTTTAAGATGGGTGTCAACTCTGAAACTTGAAACTTTACACTAAAGCGATGAAACATTTTAATTTCAAAATCCGAAATGTTCGGATAACGAAGTCAATGAAAAGTTAATGAAAAATCTCCAACCAATTTGTATGCCCCATCACCGTTCAATCAGCCAGTTGGCAGCAGCAACGCTCATTACTTTACGGGGAATATTTTCTGCTTCATCAATCTGCTGCTCATTTGGGAAGCAGTCCGGATTTCGCACATGCCTTTATCTCAGGACCCCGACTCCGTCTCCGTCGCCGTCTCCGTCGCCGTCTCCGTCCTCCGACCAATTGCTTTGCACATCAGCGTGTTCTTGTCATTGCCAAACAAAGAGAAGGAAAAATGGCATCGGGCGAGCGAATTTCCCACATGGCGCATGCAACAGCCAGCAAAAAGATGGGAAAAGCGGAAAAACGGAGAGGACACCCAAGAAGAACCGAAATCCACAAGGCAAACAGAACGAAGCATCAACATGTAAACAAATTTGCAACCTGTCGGTGGTTTAATGTATGGCTGATCCGATTCTTTAAAATGCATTAAGCCCCGCAACTTGTGAACGGATTTACTGTTCGGCACACTTTCAATTTTGTAAAATATTTCACTAATCCGTTGAGCCAAAGCGGTCCAGACAGAGGACCAGTGTTAAAGTGTCCCACTTAATCCAATTTCTAGCCCAAAACTGTATCGATAGTCGCGCAATAGAAGCGCAAAACTGCATGAAAGCGGGTTGAAAGCGGACTATAAGTGGGTGGCCTGTGTCCTTGCAGTGCGCGAGTGTCCTGAATGGACCACAGAGCCTGCCATAAGTGGATAAGGCCCTGAAGCTGGCCATAGCCATCCCACGACCTCCTTTTTATTCACCGAACTCGACTGGAATTGCATTTTATTGAGTACAGGTCGACTTTCATTTGGGCCTAGTTCAGATCGGAATAGTTCATTCTCGTACACTGCTCGAAAAGTGCCTACAATGCTAACAAGGAGTGCTTGAATAAACTGGAATCATTTCTTAAAATCTTGTTGGTAATGAAATGCTGTCAATCGGAAAGTACATGAAAGTTAAGAGTTTAAATTTCTCGCAATATATATTTTGTTACCTTTCAACTATTTCTTGCAATGCAGTTCTGGCAAAGCGGAAAGCTGCAAGAACAGTAAATGAACGCAGGTGGAAATTGGCAACGGAGCCATATCTCTGCGGGTTGGTCAGTTGTCAACTGGGCGGCAGATCATCGTCCTTTTATTGCCCCAGGGGGTGGAAAATCGGTGAAGGAGTGGGCGGCGTGGGAGGAGAACCGCAGAGCGGCAAACACACTGCTCTAAGTGCTCAGCATTCCTTTGAGGCCCAATCATGTTTACTTGGGCACGAAAACATTTCATAATTTCCAATCAATTTCACCCGTTTTAATTACGCGTAAAATATTTAAAATTCTCGCAGCTCAAAGAGCTCGCCGCGCAATCAAAGCAAAGCATTTTCATTGCCTTCATTTTGTTTGTTATGGATTTCGTAATTTTCTTAGGGGCTGTGTTTTTGGGCGATGAAATTTTACTTGTGTGTCTGTTGGAATTATTCTACGCCACATTAATCATGCAAATGAAATGAAACATGAAGGGGCGTGGTGGCAAGGTGTGGCGGGGAGGGCGTGGCGGGCACACCCATCAATGCCAATTAACAGAAATTCCCCCAAGATGCATGTGCCGGTGAGTATACATTATTAGTATCTCTTTCGTTCCGTGCGGCAAACTTGATCAGCATCAAAGGCGATTCGACCTCCAGTATTTTTAGCTGGCCAAGTGCCTAATGTGGGCTATAAATAAAGCTCTGTGGGTGGGCTTGATGTCGGGGATGCGTGTATTCTGCAGATATGCCGGAACTCTTGCATATTTAATGAGCATGACACGGCGTAAACTTGAGGAAAACAATGGAGCTGCGAGGCCGGCAGTTGGGAAATGTAGAGGAGAGGGTAAAGGCTTTAAGTTTTCCATTCGATTTTCCCCCGAAAAATAAAGTTGCCAAACTTTGCTACACCATCTCTTCACATCCCCTGATGCAAGCAAACAAATGCTAATGACAAGTTTGCCAAAAAGGACATGCCCATGTGGGCAGAAGCCTGCTCGCTTTTACATATGTATTCAGTAGGAGTACATACAGCCCCGTTCAGTCAAGGTCACTTCGCTTCCTTTGCCGGCGACTGCATAACGAGTTCAAAAAACTTTTCCCCATTCCTCCCAGCTGAACCCAACAGAACTCAAGTCAGGGACAAACTATCCTAAGCCGTTCATTCACACTCACGCGAGCACAAACTCAGTTCCTTGCCTGCTGTTTTTGGCGCTGGTCCCTTAATCAGGAGCTTTTGTAATAGGCTTATCGCCCGGCGGCCAGGACAGGCCAAAAACAAACTGTGGAAAATTCCCTCCCCACGCCTCACGCCTTCTAAGTTTGACTCTCGAACACGAAATATTCAATTACGTCGCGTAGATTCCAGCAGAAAATCAGTTTACCAAAGATAGAAATTTTTGAAAACTACAAATCTAGGGATGGTTTTAAAATTTGTTATTAATGTGAGGCTAGTTCAAATTTTACAATCTGAAATATTTCATGGGTTTTATTAGAGCAATCCATTCAATGCTTTTATGAACTATTTCTGCAGCTTGTATCACTCTGTTGGTAAATTCGCTTTAAGCCCTCTTCAACTCAAATCGCGTTCAGAAACTGCAGTCCAACCAACTAAAAATCGCTTAAAACTTTTTACCCGCCTATTTGGAGAGCTGAAAAAACCGAAAATACATCTCCCATCCCCCGACTAAAAGCTTTACATTTGCAGACAGAAATCAAGGTAGGATTCAGAGGCATTAGCAATCTGGCAGCCAGTCCCACTTCAACCGCCCGTGGAGCGAAAAAACGCGAAACAATTTTTGCTGAATGAAAATGTTTGCTCCAAAGTTGTTCCTTCCTTCCTCCTCCATTTTCAGGACCCCGCTCCGCTGGAGAGTTCAGTTTATGAGCGGGTTATTTTGATTAATGTTCTTTGAACTGCTATCAGGCATGGTTGGCCCGGGAGCAGAACTCAGTATTTGGCAAAAGCTTAGCGGATATTTAAGTGTCAAGCGGAAAAGGAAAGACCAGAGCAACAATTATTCGACGATTGGAAAGTGCGGGGTGCAGTATGCTGACTGGGGAAAACAAGCGAAGGACTCTTAGTTCATTGTCCACGGTTTATCCCTGAACATCTTAGAGTACTCTCTCTGGGAAAAGAATTTACTTAGGGCCACCTGTTCTGCCTCGTTATGGATTGACATTTTTAATTACTTTTAAATATATCATCCCTAGTCGAGATAATGCGACAAGATTTTTCATTCAAATTGTTAATGACCTCCTGACAGTGTTTTCTTAGGCCCGGCAAGAGAGACCACTTGACCTTTTTTCCGGGCTGCCATCTCGTTTTCTTCGGCTGGTGCCTCCCATCATTCGAATGTCCTTTGTGCATGCTTATTGACAAGCTGTAAATAATTTGGATTTGACATGATCTTGATTGCTTGTGCTTAAGTCCCCACATTGTCTGTTCACGAAACTTCCACCCCAACGATGAGGCCTGCCACAAACTTTTGCCTGAAATATGGCTAATAACAATCCGAGAAGCGAATGCTTTTCAAAAGATGCAAATATCTGTAAACCACATCAAAAACGACGCGAGTGAGGGAAAATCAATGCAATATTTATGATTTGCAGAACTTCCTTTAAAATAGGGAAATTTTATTCTTGAGAAATTCTTCAAGACATTTCTCCTCCGAACTAAGTGATGCAACCACATTAATCCTGTTTCCCCCCTCATTTTTCTTCGCAGCCAAAGAAGAGGTACATATCACACATTCCGTCCGCCCTCCTACCGAGACGCATGTAAACGTAAGCGGAGCCCAAAGGAAGCAAGTGGGAGACCCAGGATAGGCGATGCCAAAATGCCAGCGGCAGATCAGATCCTGTTTGTAAACGTCACCACAACGGTGGCGGCGGCGGCTCTAACCGCTGCGGCCGCCGTAAGCACCACAAATTCCGGTAGCGGCGATGCAGTACGTCTGTATACGAATACGGATGCGAGTATGGAAACGGAGGCGGTGGCCAATGTATCAGGTTCGCTGGTGGATGGCCTGACCACCGTGACGGCTGCACTGAGTTCGACTCCGGCTGATGCAGACTCCGTGGGGGAGTGCGGCGGAGCCGTAGAGGAGCTTCATGCCAGCGTCCTGGGCCTCCAGCTGGCGGTGCCGGAGTGGGAGGTAATTATACAGTTATGTTATTAAAAAAAATCTTCTAAAAAAACTAAAAACTACATATCATGCAGTCCGGATTTGAAAACACTGATCATAAGAGACAACAGGTCAAAGGTTAATTACAGTCTCGACTTGTGTTCAGAGAACTTTTAAAAAAGAAATTATTAATGTACGAGTACAGTTGTATGTATATTGAAGGACTTAGCCACCACGATTAAGCGCGAGCTTTCTCCTTTATGGAAAAATGATTTTAAATCGATTCAAGAGGTTCATTAAGGTTTTTTCATATCCACTTCTTAAACTTTGGTAGTCATAAATAAAATGTAGTAAGGCCCTTACGATCTTGATCAAACAATTTTGGGATTTTCGCGAAAATGATTTTTGTTAAAATTACCTTTAATATTCGATATGATAATAGCAGGGGATAGGTGAAACGTGAACTGTAATGAACAAATTAATATTCATTGGCAATAAAAGTCATATTGTTACCGAAAGATACCTTAAATCCCTGCGGTCAGTCTGTACATGCACAAAGCCCTTGGATATACAGAGCTAAAGAAAAAAAAATGTTGCGGCTAATTATAATCTTAACAGTCTAAGAAGCAAGTCGTACAATTTTAAGACAAGAAATACATTCGATATTTTGTATTACATTAGATAGTGTATTAGATTAGTGTATTTATTGAAAGTGTCTATAACGGCTCAACAATATGTTAATATATTTTGATATAAATTAATACCAACAGAAGAATGCCTTCATTTCTCAACTCTTTTTCTTTTTCTATAGGCTCTTCTAACTGCCTTGGTGCTCTCGGTCATCATTGTGCTGACCATCATCGGGAACATCCTGGTGATACTTAGTGTGTTCACCTACAAGCCGCTGCGCATCGTCCAGAACTTCTTCATTGTGTCTCTGGCGGTGGCCGATCTCACAGTAGCTCTGTTAGTGCTGCCGTTCAACGTGGCCTACTCAATCCTGGGTCGTTGGGAGTTTGGCATCCATCTATGCAAGTTGTGGCTCACCTGCGACGTCCTTTGCTGTACCAGCTCTATCCTGAACCTTTGCGCTATTGCCCTGGACCGCTACTGGGCCATTACGGACCCCATCAACTACGCCCAAAAGCGGACCGTGGGCCGCGTCTTGCTGCTCATCTCCGGTGTCTGGCTGCTCTCGCTCCTGATTAGTAGTCCGCCGCTGATCGGCTGGAACGACTGGCCGGATGAGTTTACCAGCGCCACGCCCTGCGAATTGACCTCGCAGCGCGGCTACGTCATCTACTCATCACTGGGATCCTTCTTCATTCCGCTGGCCATCATGACGATCGTCTACATCGAGATCTTCGTTGCAACGAGACGGCGCCTTCGGGAACGGGCCAAGGCCAACAAGCTCAACACAATAGCTCTGAAGTCCGCCGAGCTGGAACCAATGGCTAACTCCTCCCCAGCTGTTGCCTCCACCTCCGGCTCCAAGTCGCGTCTCCTGACCAGCTGGTTGTGCTGCGGCAGGGATCGAGCCCAATTCGCTACGCCCATGATCCAGAACGACCAGGAGAGCATCAGCAGCGAGACCCACCAACCGCAGCTTCCTCAGGATGTTTCCAAATCACAGAGTAATAGCGATCCGCAACTACAACAGCACGTCGTCGTGCTGGTCAAGAAGTCTCGACGCGCCAAGATAAAGGACTCCATCAAGCACGGCAAGGCCCGTGGTGGTCGCAAGTCACAGTCTTCGTCCACCTGCGAACCCCATGGCGAACAGCAGCTCCTACCCGCCGGCGGGGGAGGAGGGAGCTGTAGGGCCGGAGGAGGCCATTCCGGCGGAAAGTCCGATGCCGAGATCAGCACAGAGAGCGGGAGTGACCCCAAGGGCTGCATACAGGTTAAACAGTTTTTCCCTCACAGAAATTTGTTCATGCCAAATTTGGTTGGAATTTGTATTGATGTACCGATGTTAGAATTCCAGTTGAATATGATTGGAATGCAGCTCCTCCAAACATGGTTGGGCACAATCCGTGCAATATTGACTTTGTTCTTACCTTTATTATAGGTGTGTGTGACCCAGGCGGACGAGCAGACTTCCCTCAAGCTAACTCCGCCGCAATCCTCGACAGGAGCCGCCGCCATTTCCGCCACTCCGCTGCAGAAGAAGCCCAGCGGCGTAAACCAGTTTATTGAGGAGAAGCAGAAGATATCGCTGTCGAAGGAGCGGCGGGCTGCCCGCACCCTGGGCATCATCATGGGCGTATTCGTTATCTGCTGGTTGCCCTTCTTCCTCATGTACGTCATCCTGCCCTTCTGCCAGAGTTGCTGCCCCACGAACAAGTTCAAAAATTTTATCACCTGGCTGGGCTACATCAACTCCGGCCTAAACCCGGTCATCTACACCATTTTCAACCTGGACTACCGGCGCGCCTTCAAGCGGTTGCTCGGACTAAACTGATGCGAGTTGGTGGGTGTGGGCGTAGAAACCGCTCATCTGGGTGGTGGTCGGTTGCCAAGGTTCGAACGGGAGAGCTTTACGCAGAGTTTGTGCCAAACTTAAATAGTGGAATTTCAGTTAAGCGAAGATCTCAGTAGATGGTTGGGCCCCTACGTGGTGTACTTCCGATAAGGAAACAGAATCGAACTTAAATCAAATCATAATGCGGCTAACAAAATCGATAATTGTCATAATTGACTAAAGGTGCATCTTAATAACCGATTAGAAATCGTACATCAGATCTAAAAATAAAATTTAAAGCACGTTTTTTGGTCGGAAAAGATCTTCTGTTTCCAGATTTCGTAACTCGGAATCCTTTCAGTTCAGTCACCATGCTGGGGAAAGCTATTCGCCAGGTAGGACGTTTGAGGCACACTTAAATTTGAGAAAACTGTTCAATACTCATACTAAAAGGGGTTGTGCTGGGATAAAAACCAAGGCAATCCAAGGAAATCATCAAAAATACATAGCGAAAAAGTACATAACCGTGCATACATACATACATACATGCTAAGTGACATACCAAACGAGAATAGCATCAAATTGAATTTAATACAAATAAACTAAATGTTTAGGCACAAGATTTGTGGCAACTTTCGTGTTTCACCCTAAGCGTATGGAAAAACCAAAAAGGTGTTAGTTAAATTAATTCTGCGCTCAAAATATGTAAAACAAGTAAGCTAAATACAAACTTCCAAGGAATAAATTATGTTTTCTAGGCATTACTTTAACGATTTGTATTTAAATGTAATTTAATTGTAGGTAAACGCGAAACTAAACTACTACACTTAATGTATACTTTCAATGCGCTTTGAACTATTTGTTAATAATTTAATAATTAATTGTTTTTATGACAGAGCAACAATTGTGTTGAGTGGGCAGCTAAAAGCTTGCGCATCGAAACTTACTTAAGATTTATAGATAAATGTTTAATTGCACTTTACGGATTGCAACTGAGTTAGCGGAATGGAGTACTATAAATCGATGTATAAACTCAAGTACTTACTATATCGTATATATCACAAATGATGTCTTTTAACGAAGATGTACGATAGTTTCACTAATTAACTTGTTTAACGAGCAAAAGCAAGCTAAGCGAAAACGAAAACGAAACAAACAAAAGACAGATTCGAATTAAAGTTATGAAAGAATGTTTGGTTTTTAATTTAAACAGAATGTTGGGATTTTGGGGAAAAACTAAGCAAAGACTTTACAAAATCAATCTTCAAAATTTCGAATATTTGCAATTTTTGTACATATTTGTAGTCTAGACCGGTTTTCAAGTTCATAAATATAACTGAAGTCAACGAAGTGAATTCGCCGGTAAATTGTATTTCCGTATTAGCGCCCACTTTAGTCAATTAATTACGACCAGTGTTACACTTTTATTTTGATTTCCGAAATTGCAATTTTCAACAGATTTTTTATTAGTTTAATATCCTTTTCACTCGTCCAGTTTTTTGTTGTTTTATATCAATATTTTATAAAGTTTACAATTTATTTTTGTGCGTAAAAAACTGAATATTTTTGTGATATTATCTAATAGGGGTGTTAAGACTTTTTAATTTTATGTATGAGATATTATATATATTTTATATTATTTTCGGTACACATTTCTTGAGATATAAAAGTATAAGCTTGAAACTCATGGGTGTAAGCATACATTTTTGGCTGACTGTATTTATTGTAGTGTATATTGTTTACTGTTATATTACCACAAAATATGAACATTTATTTGAATTTAAATTTATTTTAAATAATTGTAGGCCTCTCCTTCCAGATATCACTGTAAGTATTCTGGTATATTTATTCTTTTAAAAGTTTCTGACCCCAACAAATAAAAAAATATGTAGATAGCTATTTATCCGCATTTATCGGCTGTCGTCGATAGCCATTCACAGGGAACAACCACTCAGGTAGCAGCGCTGACTCCCATCACTAAAAGTGTTAGCTTGTAAAATTGTTGAGATTTAAAATTGCTTAGACTGGCTATAATGGTCAGGGTTTGATCCCAAATACTCGTTACCTGCAGACGCAGATTTCGGCGAATACAGGCAGGCAGAACGTGAAACAGATGTATATAAACTACAGCCGCTCCTCAGCGATCAACCAGACCATGGATACTTCCGAATCGATGAATACGTATACGGAGGGAGACCATCTGAACGGCTCCTTTCGCCTGCAGTGCTCGATGTCCTCTTTGGACTTGGAAAGTGAAAGTGATTTATCTCTCGCTTTCGAGCGCGAAGAGCAGTCTCCAGATGGAAGCTGTGACGAGCTACCGGCCTTCGAAATCCGCGCCTTCTCGCCCCATGGGCGCACTCCTTCGCCCATCGACGACCTCAACCTTTCGGACATCGAGACTCCCACGCAGCCGCTGAGGCAGCAGGTTTCTCCGGAAGAAGATGAGCCCTCACGCAGGAATGATCCACAATACGTGGCCCTGCACGAGATAAACGCCCAGATAAGCCCGCCCAGCGACGCCAATGACTCCAACAGCCTGGAGACAATATTCGAGGGAGTCTTCCTAAGCACACCGCCTCGCGAAAAGGTCACCAGCTCCAATTCCCGCTTCACGCCCAAGCGCAGCCGGGCGAATCTCATTGAACTAATGGCCATTGGAAACCGTCTGCACGGTGGCAAGGAGAACCAGTCGCCGGGAGCGCGGGTCTCCGATCCGCAGTCGCCATCGCCTCCAAAGGACCCTAGCAAGTAAATACCCAACTGATTCCAACCAAAGCCATGGAGCCCTCGCTCAGACTGCCATCGACGTTTTAGACTAAGTTAGCATTTACCTGAATTAGTGATTCTACCCGGCCAGCAGGTGTACACCTCGATGTGTATTCGCGGCTGATCCTTGAGTTAATCTTCGCTACGTGCCCTGCGTTTTCTAATGTCAGTGTTAAATAAAGATTGTCTTACCATGTTTCAAACATTAACCTGAGGTGCGGTTGTTATATTTTGGTAAATAATACAGGTAGTCAAGAAGGTGGAATATTTCTCAACGAATCCGTGGTACCTGGACCAGTACCGCCAATAAAACAAAAATAGTTTCCACTGAAAAAACTAAAAAAAAATAGCCTAGATCAACTTTTATGACCAATATCCCTTATTTAAGGAAAAAGTCATGTAAACCTTCTTAAGCCCCTTAATAGCAGCCGATCAAGTTATTAGTGTGTAAACGTTTAGTAGTTCAATAAAAATGAATATCTATTTTGATATACTTATTTGAAATGTAATGGACTTGAGTATCGCAAGATTATATACAAATAAATCGAAGAAGTTGTTTGTCGTTTCTAAATACTATTATCCAAGACTTGGATTCCAAGTATTAAAAATGAATGTAGTTCTCCCGAATACAACACTAATCGAAATTGATTACCAAAAATACATTTAATGATATTTTTTGGACGATGTTTGTCTTAGGACTAGGGATCTTATATTATGCCTAAGCTTTACTTTATGTAAAAAGGTACAAAAATAAGTATTTTTCATTGATATCTTAGTGGAAGATACTGGAGCACCACTTTGTGAAAGTGGTTAGATAATTCGCGTCTTATACGAAATCAAATATGGATGCAAAGCTTGAACTTAAAATAAAAATAATTGTGACGAGCATTTTTAGAAATAAACAGTTATAAAATTGGGAATGTTTCTCAGGTTCTAGAACACATTCAAAAGTAATACAGTGGCCAGGATTGGATAGCAAGGATTATATAACTTCAAAGATTTTTAAGACATGTGCGAATGTCAAATAACGGATGAGGTAGTTCTCCCTGTTCCATGTTCATTGCCTCTGTCTCTATATGGCAGTTTGAAATCGCTTCTGCTCTGCTATTCCAATCTTTTTTTACGCGTTTAATCAGAAGTTCTTTGAATGACGTGACGCCGAGAACACTTTAACGCGCAGTAATCCAGGGTTGACCTCTTGCCATCTGAAATATCATTAGATTTAAAGACCTTTTTAAGAAAGTTGATCTATGGAACTCACCGTAATCGACGTTCGCCCAACCTTGACTTCACTCTGTTTTTGATGGTGGACACTCCGTTAGCGCTGTGCAATCCACGCCCCGTTATTATAAACACGTGCTTGTAAACGCGTGTGGTGTTGCGCAGAACAGTTATGTGACGGTCGAGGAACAGATCTAGGCAGCTGATCGCCTCTACAGTGTGCAGGTAGTGCAGGTCTAGCAGGTCCGGGTTGTTCTGGGTGTGCCGATGCACTTCCATGATGCAATTGGCCGCCCTCTGGTTAAAGACGTCGATCTTCTGCTTATGCAAATTGGCTATTTCAGAATAGTAAAGCGCGACGGTACCGTTGCCACGCTGTACCGCCTGCTTGGCCTTCAAGTAGCACTCGGCTTTCAACTGGGAGTGATGAGCGGCCATATTGCGCGTCTCCTCAAAGTCACGTAGAGCAGCGCACTTGGCCTCTTCATGTAGCTGAGGGGAGCGGCCAGTGTTGGATGAACTTGAACTGGAACGCTGACCTTGGTTTAAGGAGTTCTGTTGCACTTGTGTTTGCTGGTGCTGGTGCTTCCGTACTTCCAGTGCAACTTGAGCACTGAGCTTTTCACCCTCGCGAAGAGCCTTTTCATACAGTTCTGCTTCACTCAACGTACTCTGGACGTTGCTGTCCAAGACCTCGACCGTTTGACCGTAGTTACTGCCAGTAGCTGCAAAAACCTCGAGCACAGTTTCTCTGGGGATTTCGGGGAATGTCTCGCATAGCTTCATTTTGGTTAGATGGGTGGCGATATCGTTAGGTGGCTGCTTGCGGGCTGCCAATTCGGCTGCCTGCTTGGCGGCTAGCTGCTCGCTATTGTATATGCTCCAGGCAAGCTCCATGTCTAGCAGTTCGCCAACATTGCTGGGCGATTCTCTGCAGTCGGCGTAGTCCGGGTGCTTGATAAGACGGGCAAACTGCTCATCATCGCGTAGGGTCTGTTGACGTTGTTCCTCCAGTTGGTTATAAACGGCCTCCATCCACAGCATGTAAAGCTGCTTGGCTAGCTGGCGGGGCACAAATATTTTTGTGGCGGGGAGCAGTTCTAGCTCTGGCGGGAACATTTCGTTGTCTGTCTCAAACTGAGCGCGTAGCTGCTCAATTAGAGTCCCGCCCAGATCCATTTCCAGCAATGTATTGTCTTCAGGGTCCTCTTCTTCCGGCTCGTCAAGCTCTGAAACTTCGATCGATTCTGCCAATTTGGGCACGATAGGTTGATCCAGAATCGCATTACGGATGTCGCGGATTTTACGAGTGTGCTCCGAGTATTGTTCGTCGCCTAAAAGATTATATTCATATTAGCTTTAATTGGTCAAAAGTAAAACTCACAAGGCAAATGGATGATATTCTATATGAAATACCTTTACCCTTCCTTCCAATGCACGTACGTATATATCTTACCTAACACGAAGCAATTCTGGATTTGCAGCTGCAATTCTTTATTGGTGGAAGTCGAAATTCGTTTGTTTCTAGGTTGACGCTGCGGCTTCGGTGCAGTCTTAGTTACAGTCGGAGTTGGTGATGACGACAGTACAGTGGGAGCTTGTGATTCTTGGCTCCCCATCGTCCTATCGCAGTCGCATTGAAACTCCACTGCCTCCTCGGTACTTGTGGTTTCCTTCAATCGGAACTGATCCGAGTACGTGGCATCGTTTAACTCGTCCTCCTTTAACAGAATATCGACGGCCCAGTCAACGTCGGCCTGACACTTGACGAACAGATCCCAGAGGCCAGTTATCTCTTTGTTCGGATACATCTGGCGCAGAAGTGCAAATCCTTTTGGTTCGTTACGGCAGTCTAAGCAGTGCCTCTGAAACGTCTTTGTCTCAATGGACTCCGCCGTTGATGGCGCATCCTCTATTTTGGCATTGTCGCGAAGAAGCTCAATCAGCGATACCTCACTCTTTGCTGAAGCTGGAGCAGAAGGAGCAGGAAGAGAATCCGGAACTGCCGAAGCAGAAGCAGGATATGCAGAGTCCGCTATCTGGGACCAGTATGATGGCGCTCCCTGTTCGTAGGGCACCCACGATTGTGAATTGGCATTTCGCTTTAGGCTGTCATTCTGAGGAGCTGGGATTGCTGCTTCCAATGACTTGTTCTCCTCAAATGCAGTTATGACAGGAACTGAAGGAAGGCGCGGGTGTTGGCGCAGTTGCGGTAGGTCTACCGAGTACTTTGTCTCCTTCATCAACTATCACACAACAAAATAGAGTTATTTAATTATAATAAAACCAAAATATAATGTTTGTCTAAATAAATTGTAACTTTTCGTGCGCTATAAAATACGAAAAGTTTTCAATTCCGCTCTTTAATTCTGGATTCTGCTCGGTTCGTGGAAACAATTTTGTATTTTCAAAGATTTAAAAAAGTGTAATTTACATTCTTACCTGAATGAGGTCACTGACAGTGGTACGCTCGAAGCGATCCAGCATGCGCTGGATGCTCTGCCGTGGGACATTGTGTACGTTCTTCTGGGCCAGCTGGCTGGCCGACTTACACCAACTGGTTTGTGGTTCAAGCAGCTCCAGGACGTATCCATAGCGGACGGCAGTCTGGACATAGGGTTGCATCTCCCATACCATCGTGTTGGTGTTATCCACGATAATGGGGCTCCAACCGATTGCAGCCTTCTCACGGACTCGCCCTTGATTCCAATCGTGGGCGGCTGGTATCAAGGTGGGATCGAAATCATAGCCGCGGCGTGTATAGAAGTAGTCGTCCGAGCTGAGGACAAAGTCGCTCACCTCGTGCCGCTCGAGTAGGTGGGCTTGGCGAAGTAAGGATTTAGCCAGTGTAGTCTTTCCACTCCCGGGAGGGCCACGCATGATGATCATTAGTTTGTGGCCCGCCTGAGCACGCTGGCAGATAGAGTTTAGCTGTTTGTTGCTCTGGTTATTGTTCATATTGCTGGGGTGGCACATTCTGATGGAGTTTGGGGCTACAGCTGAGGCAAATTTTTTTGGAGTACCGCTGCTTCTGGTCTGGTTACCCTTGTTATTGCCCACCAAGAGCGCCAAATCGGCTTGGTCAGCGGAATTTCGCGCTGCCGACATGGCGTTTGTTTACTCTGCGTAAGAGGATCGTTTAGAGTGGTTCAACCAAAGTAATGCGCAGTAATCAGCACACTTCCCCACCCCCAAGAACCCCTTATCGCATCAGGGTGCCGAACTCACCAGTATCTGACCAAACGGAGATTCATCGATCTCAGGACTGCAGGCAGAGGTTGAGTTTCTCTCGATTATTTACTGTACCCACTTCTAAGGTAACTCTTGTGAACTCGAACTTCTTCGTTTGTTTGTTTCTAGGAAACGGGAGCTCTGTGTATCACATACGGGAATTTGCTGCATTGCCAAGTGGGAAAAACCACGTCCGAATCGGTCACTAGTTATCGATAGGCATCAGTGTTGACAATAACATATCAATTTACACGCCAGAAAGACGGAACTCTATAGTCCTATAAGCACCGATAGAACATCTGCTTAAGTTTAAATTTAAACATTAATCCAATAATAATTAATCATCAAAGATGAATTTTTATAAATAACATAAGTTAACATTTGTTTGTGACGCGATATCGCGATAGGTATTGCCAATATTAAAGACTTAATCAAACAACAAATAGTTGATCACTTATTATTTTTTTTAATGATTAAAGTTATAAAAAATCAAATAAAGAACTAAAACATCTTATTGTTTTGTTTATTAATGAGGAACTGAAATTCAATTCTCATGTCTCCTTCGATGTATGTACCTTCTGTTATGACTTCAGAGTAGCTTTTTAGCTAAGAAGTATGCGGAAAACGATGAAGCAACTACTAAGATTAAAATGTATAACCTCCTTTTTGGTTGTTTATCAACCGGCCACTTACTCCCGACCACCGATGTTCCCTTCTCTAGGACTTTGGCTGTACGTGTTCTTGCAGAAGACAGAACCGATCTAGAATCATGAACTATACCGGTAATGGATATCTTATTTGCCCTATCTAAGCTTGATCTAATCTTATAGCTTATAGGAGAGCTAAGAAATGAATCCGTCTTGGATTTAGTCCACTTCCAACTATTGGTTCCACCTATAGATTTTTTAAGACCCACAAAGGTCGAATTCGCGCTGGCAGTGCCCTTACGAAGTGATCCTGCAATCCATTTCCAGAAGTTGAAGAGGGCTGTGACTCTTTTATTAGTTGCATCTCTGGCAGCATATGAATAACCGCTGCGTGATCCTTGGGTTAATGTTTCCACAACGACAGCTTTGGAAGCTGAAGATATTCCGGTCTCTGATCCCTGGATAAATGTTTTGGCCACTACTTCCGCAGCCGCATTCAATGGAAGTTGCGGTTGAGGTGGAATCGGAGAAGTTACGACCCTAGGTCCGTGGGCTATTGTCTTGGCAACGACTTCGGCAGCAGAGGTTAAAGAAGTATTTAAGGTCTTTGAAGAAATTCTCATATTTAATCCTGGATTTAGTTTGCCGATCCCTAGAACTCTTTTCGATCTTAAAGCCACTAGCCAACATATCAATGTCCATAAGGATGAGGGGTGTATTTCATTCAGTTCCTGAACACCAACTTGTGGGATGACTGGCTCCGGATTTGGTATCGGTGGAGATGATCCCCGAAATATCCTGTAGGACACATAGGCCCCCATTATCACGCCTCCAATAAATATAGCCACTTCGATATTTTTGTAAAACATATCTGGAGTAGGATTGGAGGGCATTGGGAAAAATGGACGTGCCAGTCCAACAAGGCTATTCAGGTCAGATTTTTTCATATGATCGACGACCAGAATGTCGTCCGACCGAGGATTGGAATAATCGTGAGATGCGCGCTTTCGGGGGTCCATCAGAACGCGATAGGCGTTGTGTATTTTAAGGAACTGATCCGTTCCGCTTTTGTTTTTGTCGGGATGGCATTGTAAGGACAACTTGCGAAAAGCTTCCTTAATCAGGTTTTCGCTGGCATTTCTGTGCAATCCCAATACGTGGTAGTGATCTTGGTAGACGTCGCTCATTCTCGATGCGCACTGAAATATACATGTACATATATACACATTTCTTAATAATAATAATTGGAAATTAATTAACACTTCCTGCGGTTACCTCCTACTGGAACGAATTAGTGGGAAGTCCCAAATAAAAATGTTTCTCTCCGGTCAATTAAAACATCTACAAAGAGCGGAAAACGCGCATTGATCCTATCGAGTTATCGGATCGAGAACGTAGAAATACTAACTTTTCGCACTAACTTTTTTTTTTTGTTCAGCTCTATCATGAAACTATCGTAGGTAAGGATAAATAAGTAGTTTTTGAAATACTGTCCTATATTACTTTCTATAGTATTTAAAAAGTATAATCAAATGTTATGGTGGAAAATACAAATTAACTGCTATCGACTTAGTTTATTGAAAATTTAAAATCAATATAAAAAGTATTTTATAGTGCAAAAACGGTAGGCATTTAGCTTTTCTAACCTCTCTGTGGACTTTTTTCTGCGATCCCCAAAAACTTTAATATACTATGTAAAAGTTTCAATATATTTTATACACATTTTAGATCAAATTCAAAATATAAAAAATATTTAATAACCGTAATTAAGATTTAACAATTTAATTTAATCTTCGAATTATAGATTAGAGCTATTTGCACAGATCAGATATTTTTGTAATCGTTTCGAGAACAATCGATTCGATTTATTGGACTAACAATACTAAAAAAAAACAGGATAAGCCAAATCAAGCGGTCGATAAATAAGTCACTTAAAACAGTCTAAAAACTACGCAGCGATACTCCTTTAAAGATTCGTTAGCCATGTCGGCGGATGCTTAATTCTTAAATTAAAGACTTAATCCGAGGATGATCCCTCATTATTGGTAGCAGGCTCTTTTTTTCTACTGAAGAACTGAAAGGTCTTGTAGGCGGCGAAGGCAAAGAGTACGGTTCCTCCGACGGCACACATGAATGGCAGCATGTCTGACGTGGGCTGGGCAAAGGTCGCCGGTTCGTCACCGTATTTGAGACCCTCTTCTCCAAACTGGTCGTATATCTGGCGTTTTTCCTTGTCAGACAAGACTTCGAAGGCGGCCACTACTTCCTTGAACTGCGCCTCGGCCTGCGGATGGTCGTTCTTGTCCGGATGGTAGCGGAGCGCCATCCGGCGGTAGCCTTTCTTGACGTCTTCGTTGGATGCATTTCTCTCGATGCCCAAAATCTTGTAGTAGTCTTTGCCCATTGTACTAAAATAGGTGAATAATCCTTTATTAGGTTGCAGGTCACTCCCAGAGATAATATATTTGATGCCCCAGATTTGTAATTTGTGGGTGTTGAGGTATTTTACACGTACTGTTTAAGAGATTCTATACGTTGATTAAAAACAATACTATTGATATTTTTTTTGCCCGCCACAGCTGAGCAGACAGAGTTGCCGTACTTAAAGCAGACCTCTTAAGGGAAGGTTACCTTGTTACGTTTAACATAACATTTGTGTTTCGACTATTCAGAAATTTAAAATGTAGAACTTGTTTTAAATATGTGCCCAAACTTGGTTTATCGCAATTTAAGCTTGTAAGCGAACTTGAATTTAAAATTGAATGAACCACTTTACGGCACTGTTAAAAGTGGTTCAGCTTAACGTGCGTATAACAGCGCGGTGTTACTGTGCGTTTAACAGCACAGTGTGCGCAACAGCACACTGTAAGGTCACTTGTTTCCGCCACCAACTTACCTTCTTTCCGTTCTGTGAGCGAAAACCAAAAAGTCTGTGCTTTGGTAAGTGTTAAAAAAAAATTACGAAATAATGATGATTCAAGTGTATATTCGAGCGTCTGAGCACCCATTCTCTTCCTTTGGTAACCGGTAATCGTATGATGTTCTTTGCAGTTCTTAAATTCACCCAACGAGTCCCTAATACACAATCAAAATGGTTAGGGAGAACAAGGCAGCATGGAAGGCTCAGTACTTCATCAAGGTTGTGGTAAGTACCGTCGCTCACCACGCTCGAGGGACGCCAAACTAATCCTCGGTAATCCTCATTTTAGGAACTCTTTGACGAGTTCCCCAAGTGCTTCATCGTGGGCGCTGACAACGTGGGATCCAAGCAGATGCAGAACATCCGTACTAGCCTGCGTGGACTGGCCGTCGTGTTGATGGGCAAGAACACCATGATGCGCAAGGCCATCCGCGGGCATCTGGAGAACAACCCCCAGCTGGAGAAGCTGCTACCCCACATCAAGGGCAACGTGGGCTTCGTGTTCACCAAGGGCGATCTCGCTGAGGTGCGCGACAAGCTGCTCGAGTCCAAGGTGCGTGCCCCAGCCCGTCCCGGAGCCATTGCCCCTCTGCATGTCATCATCCCGGCTCAGAACACTGGCTTGGGACCCGAGAAGACTAGCTTCTTCCAGGCTCTGTCCATCCCCACCAAGATTTCCAAGGGAACAATTGAAATCATCAATGACGTGCCCATCCTGAAGCCCGGCGACAAGGTCGGCGCTTCCGAGGCCACTCTGCTCAACATGTTGAACATCTCGCCCTTCTCGTACGGTCTGATCGTCAACCAGGTGTACGACTCTGGCTCCATTTTCTCGCCCGAGATCCTGGACATCAAGCCCGAGGATCTGCGCGCCAAGTTCCAGCAGGGAGTGGCCAACCTGGCTGCCGTCTGTTTGTCCGTGGGATACCCCACCATCGCCTCGGCCCCTCACAGCGTTGCCAATGGATTCAAGAACCTGTTGGCCATCGCTGCTACCACCGAGGTGGAGTTCAAGGAGGCTACCACCATCAAAGAGTACATCAAGGACCCCAGCAAGTTTGCCGCCGCTGCCTCGGCCTCGGCTGCCCCTGCTGCCGGTGGAGCTTCCGACAAGAAGGAGGAGGCCAAGAAGGTCGAGTCCGAGTCCGAGGAGGAGGACGATGACATGGGCTTCGGCCTGTTCGACTAAGCTGGATACAGTAAGCCCAGCACCGGCGCCCACGGGCCATTGCTTCTGCTTTCGACATTTACCCACTAAGACCCTCGATTATGTTTTCTATGTGCAAATCATTGCCGCGGTTTGACGGACCCAATGGCAAGTTGCATTAAACATCCTGTAAACTGCTCGAAAGCACACTCAAATGCCTTTTGAATTAGTAGTAGTTGACAGTGGTTGGGGATCCTCTTTGGAATTTACAGACTTATGCCATTTTATTCCCCTTTAAAGGACCAGCAGACAGCAGGTGCCGCCTGCATCTGCTCCCGCCCCTCCGGATATTTACAAAGTAATTACTTGTGATAAAATAAATTTCACAAGATGAGAAAAGTTTAAAGTTTCTGCTGCTGCTGCTGCCATTGCCGTCGTCGGCGACTTTTGCGATTTCTTTCGCTTTTCGCAAAAGCAGTCGGCGACGGCGGAGCTCATAAAAATTCAATTTGTCTTGACAAAATACGCAAGAAATTAAGAATGTGCCAAGTGGCGGCAAAAGAAACTTTCCCTTTTCCCCGTTTCCCATTTTCCTGCACATTTCTTTCTCGTCTGGCGGGCGAAAATGAGTTACGCGACTGGGGCGTGAAATAGCCACGCCCTCGCGGCAATGTGTCGCCCTCCAAAAGTGAAGGGCGGAGTGGGCCGCGGTACGGAAAGGGGAAGCTGGCGTAGCAGGAGCCTCGGGCCAAGTTAAACACTGCATAAATAGCCGGGACCAAAATGTAAGGCTCTGACGAAAATAAATCCTCCGCAGGCCTTTGTGGACTACAGAGATGGAATCGTGAGCAAGGCCTTAGTAATTGATTATAGAATCGAGAAATCGGATTTGTAAACTTTTCCAGTCATCTTCTGATGAAAAAACGTAAAATTAATACAAAAGATTGAGCATCTTGCTCTCCATGACTAGAACAACCCAGTTCGTTAAAAGTTAAATATTAAAATTAAAGAAATGAGTTAACCAATTTATATTATGTTTGTTCAAGATGTTTTGTGGAAGGTATGAGAACCGATGGTATCTAATTATCCAGGACCTATAACTTTTCTAAAAGACATCCTAATTTCGATGAGTTTTTCTTTAACATAAAACCGATCATCAACATTAAATTAAATGTATTTTACAACCTTATTTTCTATCTCTATCATTCGGCGTGTCACGGTTTCATCGCTATTTGCAGTATGTCTCGATGTGGATCCCATTTGGCTTTGAGATAAATTAATAAAGACATTGCATAATTTCAGGCGCCGCTGGCGGCAAATATACACAGGAATTAGCATAAACTGTGGGGCATTCCCCAATCTACGCCTGACCCTCCCATGACCATTCAGCATTCACCACCCACAAACTTACCGCCCACCACCCACCACCCACCGCTTGCCACTCAATCAGCAGCAAGCGACATTTGAAATCAAAATGCGATTGGCAAAATGATTTGCTTCAATTTTTGTGATGCGCATAACAAATGAAGTTTGGACATTTGGACAATTGATTGGGACAGCGGCCATGTGTTGGGGAGCGGGAGTCTGGGAATCTGTGAATCTGGTAGTCAGGAAGGATGGACGGACGGACGGTTGAAAGGATGAAAGGATGGCCCGAGACCCATATAGACAATGTACGATATACCACACATCACATCACACACTCCATCGCAATGTTTGCCATGCACAACAAAATGTGGAGCAGTCGACAGATTCGGATTCGGAATCAGATTCAGATTCAGATTCGAGTTCAGGACTCCGTTCCAAGTGGCAAGCCCCTCCCCCGGAACTGGACTCGATTTTGGCTATCCAATGCGCACAGATAGATTTGTATGCATATTTTTGCTCTGGCATTTCGTTTGTGTGCTAAACATGTGAATGCCATCGATATAACGATGCTGCTCCTGTTATGCATGTTCCCTGGCTTCCCATGCCACATGCCCCGTGCCCCATCCCATCCCAATCCCACTCCACCGCCCTGTGTGCTCAGCTGTGATTTGTTTGGCCAAAAGATTTGGAGCAAAACGGTTTAATTCTTGTGGAATGGCTTAAACGATTCCTGCCGGCGAGTTCGTCTAGCGACCTATGAACCGGAAACGGAATTTCTAAACGAACTCATCTTTATGCGACTTCACTTTCGAAGATATGTACGAGTACGTGGCTTGATATGAAAGTATCAATCATTTATTTTTTTACACTTTTGATTAGTTAATTAAGACTACGTTTGTTGCGTTCTGCTAGGCAGATTCTCCATTATTTCATTTACGGGATAAAAATACATTTTCAAACGGCTAAAAGCAAAGAATATTTTATATATAATATCATTAAGCCGACTAAATAAATATATATATATTTATCCTGGAAACTTAACAAAAACATATATTGCATACTTTATAGTGTTAAAATGTTCTTTTCAATTTCATTGAAAATATTATAAACAGGATATGAAAACTGATATCATATATCTTTGCTATTATAAGCTTATATTAGAATTATACATCCTGTTACATAGTGCAAATACCTCTCGGAAAGTATGCATTAGGTTACGAACTTTAAATTTAAATTTTGCTTTTGGAGTAGTTACCAGTCTGCCCTTTGATGACGAACTTTTTGATAGTCGAATATGTTTAGGGCAAGGCAGCACAGAAAAGGGATTATTAAGGAAAGTGAAGTTCTGTGACTTTTAAATCAGAACTACACACCCAACAGACAGGCAGATTTTTAATGCCTGTATCAAGCCATGTCATGGTATGTTCTTAAAGAAATCCTTTAATAATTTCCTAATAAGGTCGTAGATCGATAGTTTGGGACAAAATAGATAATTCAACTAACATTTAACATAGGTAACATTAATTATTTGACAGAATTTAAGTGGTTTTAAGTAAAACTGATATCATTGCTGGAACGCATATCCTGACTATACAGGGTTTCAGAAATATATTTTCTTACAAAAGATATTTTCTTTAAGGGCAGTCCTGTAAAATAATGTCTAGAAATCAGGAAATGGCCAACTAAATTAAATTTAAAGTGAAAGACTGTTAAAAAGAGAGAAAGGCTTTCGAAACCAGTGAGCATTTGCGGCGGGGAAAGTGCCGCAGTAGATGTGAGAAACTTTGGCTAGCATCAGCCGGCTGGATCCGAGATGATAACTGAAACAGAAATCTATTTTCCAACTGACTGACGTGCAATACAAATACATTTTCCGAGATGTGCCAAGGGTTGCGGGGTGGGGTGGGGAGATGTGGGCGACATGAAAGGGGAAGCCGAAAAAACGAAATAATGGAAATCTGAAAACATTGACGGGATTGCTTGGAGCGGGTTGCAGGGGCGGCACCTGGCCACACCCACTCGCCCCCACGGCACAACATGCTCAATTTAGTCTCGTCACATCAAAATGTTTGCTCTTCGCGCTGTTTGCCGTGGCTGTTATTGTTGTTGTGGCCGGGGGAATAACTCAGGAGGGGACGGCGGGCGCTTTGT